CCTACTTGATATCCATTATGCCCTTGACTACTTTTGCCCATTTGATAAAATTCTGCCATTACTACTGCCTTGCGTCCTGAAGCAAATGTTCACTACCATGGGAAAAAGTGGCGTGTGTCTACAGTGCAAGAGAGGAGCAGAGGGGCAGAGTTAAAGAGCGTCATTGGGACATTATCAAGAGTTTACTCATCAGTGATATTTGGGCGAATTGTTGTTGTATTTTCAATGTCATTTCAAATAACTTCGACCATAGACGCCCAAGTGGAAAAGAAATTATTTTATTTTATAACGTCTATTTTCATCTATTCGTGGTTTTAGACTGTATTTGAGAAGTTGCTGAATTTTTACTTCGAGGTGAACTACACATATGCCGTCGTTAATACCGGACTCACTGCCGACCCCTCAACACGTCATATAATCACAATGGTGTCAAATCAGCTAAAATGCGTGGCAAATCGGTCAAAATTAATGATAAACGACTGGTGATAGTGGATGAATTGTGGCTGCGTAAGTGCCAAGTACATTTAATTGCAACTAGGTCTGCGTCAATACATTGTGTCAGAGCTATGTAAAATCAGTGATCACTGACCGCTGATGCTCATCGTTTCAATCACATGAGCGGTTCACCCTTTACCTTCGTGACGACATGACTTGATTTAGAAGGACTTGTTCTTGAGCACTTTTTCATGTTTCTGGCATCAGAATAAACACAACCCGTTCCAACTATTGTGACATAGAATCTTATCCTTGTTACATTTTAATTACTTTGTATCCCTTTCCCTCTGAGGCAACAATAACTGTGCTCACCGTATTTTGGAAAATAAGAATTCTATAGAGTAAATCTGTAATGCAAAACTAGCTGCTGCATTACTTATTTTTTTTACTCTTTGAAGAGTACATTTAACTTGGCATGCTTTAAAGTGGCCATACACCTAAAGTAACTGAGGCCTCTTGGAGAATATAATGACTTTATCTCTTGCTTTTTTTAATAGCGCTATTAAATTTTCATCTCTTGAATGGGTGAAATCAGCATCTTTTTATGGCCTAAGTCAGGTAATATGGGGCCCTGAATTGTCGGAACCTGTACACTTTAGATAAAAGCGAACCGTTTATAGGCCATGCAAATCATTTCTGATCACTCCAATTAGATGTCACGAACCAGATAAACCGGTGAACAAGACTTGAGGATAGGTGTCCACCTTGATTGATGAACGCAGGTGAGTAAACACCAAGGTGTGTTGAGTGAGTATGATCCATTCCCTGAGAGCGCTAGTAGATGAAATTCTCTGCTATAATTGGACAGCCGGCCATCTCTCAAATTGGTTTCGTTCCCAGCCCAAGAGAAAGGTGCCACTTCCTTGAGTAATAACGCCCTTGACTAAGGCATAAATGCGCAGGTAACATATCAGAATGTGCTCAAACGGAATTCCAAAGACGAATTACTTAATGTGTCTTTAGTTTGACGTCTAATTAATGACCAATTCTTTATGTTTTTGCCGGCAAACATGAGATATTTCCACTTAGGTTCTATCGGCAAATTAAAGTCTTGTTACTACTGCTGCTCACAATTTCCAGTAGAAAGTCAAATTAACTTTATTTAAAACCCACCTTGCAGACCACCGTTGCTTCAAATCCTTCTCTTCTAAGCAACTAGCAGTTAATTTTCTAGCAGAAATGACACATCCTGGAACCAAATGCATTCAGGATTTGCCTCCTTCAGATACAGCAACTTTGCGCTAATAATCAACATCATCTAAAAGTGCACTTAATTGCTTTATCACGTTTACTTGTTGCCTAGAGTAATGTCATGAATAACGTTGTGGCTGTTGTGGATGTAACAAGTAAGTCAAGGGAAATTTTTGTGTCAAGTGGATGAGTTTAAGCTAGGGCAGTTATTGTCACCCTCTTTATCTAATTTTACTTACTGCTATCCACCTTACATTTAAGACTCTTTTTTTGTCTTCTCCTATGTCGGCATTCTATTCCTTTAATATTTTTGTTAAAATATATATTGTCTTCAATTTCATAGGTGTGTGCACACTTAACCCTATCTTAATGTCGTCTTGAGTGAGCCTGCGATAGCTGTAGTCCACCTTACATGTCAGACAGTCAACTCTGCGTAGATGAGCGGCCACCTCCTGTGCAATTGAAACATTGCATAAGACATAAGCCAAATCCAATAGTGTCACCCTCTCTGCATCAACGTGGAATTCACTTTCCACCTATTGATTTCAATTAAATTATTTGACTAAACTTAGAAAATTACGACTGTAGGTGCTTAGAGAGTGTGGTCTTTAATTGGTATTGAAGA